CACGAAGTGTTATCATTCTGTGCAAAAGGAGAGTTCTCTCCTTTTGATGAAAAGTCAACTCATTTTACTCTCCTTTTGAAAGGAGAGATTCTCTCCGTTCACGGAGAGTTTTTTTATTTTTTATTTTTTATTTTTTATGGAGGGATAATTTTGTTGGTATATGTTTCAATATAAAATTTTTTTTAATTCTTTTATGGTAAAAAATTAATTTTTTCAATTTTAATTAATAAAAATGATATATTTAATTTTTGTAACTTTCCTTTTTTTATTTGTTAATAAAATAATATTTATATATTATTTATTTAATTTGTGTAACTTTCCTTTATTTTATTTGTTTCATTTAATTTAATAAAATAATCTTTATACATTCTTTATGATAGAACGACATTCGTTAAATTTGAATTAAATATATTTTTAAATCATTTTCATTTATAATTTAATAACTTTATAATAAATTATTTCTATTTTTGTCCGCAATTTCTTTTATTATATATTATATAGTACTGTCTTTAATCAAGTGAAAGTGAAGTAGTGTGTGAAAATAAAGAAATCAATGATCGTGGTTTGATATTTATACATTTGAATTCTAAATAGTTAGACAATTACATACTATCAATTCTATTTATAATGCAATCTATATATGTTGATAGAGTCTGATAAATGATTCTTTTATCACCTATCAATGCAAATGATGAAGGTGAAACACCATAACCCAACATATTTAACACACTAGCATTACATTCAAAATAATTTAACCCGTGTATTGCAAGGACAAAGACTAGTATCATAATAGAAGACTCAACAGCGATGAAAAATGTGTCGTAGAATTAATGCAAATTGGAAAAACCTCGGGCGTGGCAAGTGATGTATTTGGGGGACTAAATATTTTCTTTGTCCTGCATGTCTTTACTCTTCTGATGCAAGTTGCAAATTTGGCCTATACGTTTTGTCTTGATTTTCACTTCAATAGACTTGTGTGTCATCCTCAACTTCATTCATGTCTGTGTGTAAATCTATGTTTACTTTGTACTATGCACAAAAGCTGTGAATAATGAAAGTGACCATACCCCCATGTCCCAATTCCTGAAAATCTTTACAAAAATTAATGGGGGAAAAAAGAATATATTATCAAACAGACCTTAAAATTTTAAAATATGTTCCGTTTCTTGCGAGGGTATTATCTCATTTATTTGTTGAATTCCCCTTTTAATCTTTTCCAATCATACAAAGAGAAGTCATCATCGAGTTGATGTTAGTGTTGATCTTGATATGTCCTGATTCTTAAACTCCAGTGGTTAAGTTACATAATGTTCTACCACACGATCTTACTGTTTATTTTTGTCACATTGGTTTTCACATTGAACAAGTTAGAAACTGGTTTGGTCCTTTAAATCTGACACGTTATACTCTTTCTCCATTTTCTTACGCTATCAACTATCATACATATCTTATAATTTTATTAGTAGTAATATTTTTTAAAATAATATTTTATCACACTGTAGCTTTTTTTTTAATTGATGGAGCAGAAACGACGTCGTTTTCTATTTTACCTGTAGCTTACATGCTTTGAATCTGACACACGGTACTCTTTCTTCGTTTTTCTCACACTATTAACTATCGACCATATCCTATAATGTTATTAATAATAAATTTTTTAAAATAATTTTTTGCATAATAGTTATTCTTTATTTCTAAAATGTAAAAATTTACTTATAACTAAAAAAATCACTTCAAGTTATTTAAAAGTAAAACGAACTTATTATTGTAAAAGTTACTTATGAGTAAAAAATATTAACTTAAATTTTTTTGAGTATAAATATTTAGATATATTTAGTTTTTTAAATATAAATATTTACATATATTTAGTTTTTTTAAAATTTTAAATATTAATAAATAGAATACACCATCTAGAATGTAAAAAGTTACTTATAAGTAAAAAAACACTTCAAGTTATTTAAAAGTAATAAATAATTGTAAAAGTTACTTATAGATAAAAAAAAATATTAACTTCAAAATTTTTAAGTAAATATTTAAATATATTTAATATTTTAGAATTAATTATTAATAAAAAAATTACATAAAATAAATTTTTTTTTAAAAAAATGGGACCGTGCACGGAATGATAATCACTCCGTGCACAAAGTGGAGTGAGTGAGTATCACTCGATGCACGGAGTGATAATCACTCCACGCATGAAGATTCTTTTTATTTTATTTTATTTTATTTATAATAATTTTTATTAATATTTAATTTTAATAATATTAAATATATCTAAATTTACTTTAAAATGTTGAGATTAATATTTTTTTTTTATCTATAAGTAGCTTTTACAATTATATATTTTTTTATTAATTTTAAATAATTCGAAGTGATTTTTTACTTATAAATTACTTTGTGCGTTCTAGATAGTGTAATCTTTTTATTAATATTTAATCTAAAAAACTAAATATATCTAAATATTTATACTTAAAAAATTTGAAGTTCATATTTTTTTTTTTGCTTATAAGTAGCTTTTACATCTTTTTTTTACCTATAAGTAACTTTTACAATTATAAATTTTTTTATTACTTTAAATAACTCGAAATGTTTTTTTACTTATAAATAATTTTTTACATTCTAAATAGTGTAATCTTTTTTATAATTATTTATTTAGAAAAAAAAAACCTCTGTGCACGGAGTGGAATCACTCCACACACAGAGTGGTTTCATTTCATGCACGAAGTGTTATCATTCTGTGCAAAAGGAGAGTTCTCTCCTTTTGATGAAAAGTCAACTCATTTTACTCTCCTTTTGAAAGGAGAGATTCTCTCCGTTCACGGAGAGTTTTTTTATTTTTTATTTTTTATTTTTTATGGAGGGATAATTTTGTTGGTATATGTTTCAATATAAAATTTTTTTTAATTCTTTTATGGTAAAAAATTAATTTTTTCAATTTTAATTAATAAAAATGATATATTTAATTTTTGTAACTTTCCTTTTTTTATTTGTTAATAAAATAATATTTATATATTATTTATTTAATTTGTGTAACTTTCCTTTATTTTATTTGTTTCATTTAATTTAATAAAATAATCTTTATACATTCTTTATGATAGAACGACATTCGTTAAATTTGAATTAAATATATTTTTAAATCATTTTCATTTATAATTTAATAACTTTATAATAAATTATTTCTATTTTTGTCCGCAATTTCTTTTATTATATATTATATAGTACTGCCTTTAATCAAGTGAAAGTGAGGTAGTGTGTGAAAATAAAGAAATCAATGATCATGGTTTGATATTTATACATTTGAATTCTAAAAAGTTCGACAATTACATACTATCAATTCTAATTATAATGCAATCTATATATGTTGATAGAGTATGATAAATGATTCTTTTATCACCTATCAATGCAAATGATGAAGGCGAAACACCATAACCCAACATATTTAACAAACTAGCATTACATTCAAAATAATTTAACCCGTGTATTGCAAGGACAAAGACTAGTATTATAATAGAAGACTCAACGAATTAATGCAAATTGGAAAAACCTCGGGCGTGGCAAGTGATGTATTTGGGGGACTAAATATTTTCTTTGTCCTGCATGTCTTTACTCTTCTGATGCAAGTTGCAAATTTGGCCTATATGTTTTGTCTTGATTTTCACTTCAATAGACTTGTGTGTCATCCTCAACTTCATTCATGTCTGTATGTAAATCTATGTTTACTTTGTACTATGCACAAAAGCTGTGAATAATGAAAGTGACCATACCCCCATGTCCCAATTCCTGAAAATCTTTACAAAAATTAATGGGGGAAAAAAGAATATATTATCAAACATACCTTAAAATTTTAAAATATGTTCCGTTTCTTGCGAGGGTATTATCTCATTTATTTGTTGAATTCCCCTTTTAATCTTTTCCAATCATACAAAGAGAAGTCATCATCGAGTTAGTGTTAGTGTTGATCTTGATATGTCTCGATTCTTAAACTCCAATGGTTAAGTTACATAATGTTCTATTCTTTCTTTAGAAAATCGGAGGCACTAAAGAGTATCGAATTGGAGTGCACGGATCATTTGACTATTAGCTACATGAAAGGATGGAGATCTATTTGCAAAGGAATGGGTAAGTCGAAATTTAAGACTTAATCATGAGTTAAATTTTCTTTTTCAAAGATTAAATTTAATTAAACTATTATTTCGTGAAATGTGTCGATAAACCTATGATAATTTTTATATTTTACACGCTTGTAATTAGAACAATTTGTACCTTTTCATCATTAAAAAAAAAAAAATTCGAATTCTTGAAAACTATCTCGACTACTTAATTGTAATCCACGGACTTCCATAACTTATTTATCAAACACAATAATAATTTTGTTCATATTTATTGTAATTTCTATTTTTTTACACCGAAATATATAGTATGTGATAAAAAAAAAAAAGCATAAATTATTCATCAAATCTTGAAATGGCCCCAAAATTGTCCTGCAATATCTAGAAATTGGTCAGTTTGTGGTCTGGGATATTTTGTAGTTGTAGTTGTAGATCCTAATGGTTTCTCTTTTATACATTTAATTCCTTAGTATTTTTAATGAAGAATTTTCTTCAAATTTCTAATTAATTTTTATCTTTTATTTTGTTCAATTGAAATGAAGGTTTCTATATATTTTCGTTTTGTGAGACGGAATATGTCTCTAGCAGCTCAACTGATCATAGCTCTATTTGAACCCCAATATTAAAATAGATTTTGTAAAATGTGATTTTTTAGAATTTATTATTAAAAAATAGGGGAAAAATTAAATAATTTACGTGTACAATTATTTTATTAAGAGAACCTGTGATCTAAATGAGTTTGGAGAGTTTTAAAAAGTAATGCTCAAACATAAGAATATAGATAGATGATTGTCAAGGTAAAAAAAAATTAAAAATAAAAAATAAAAATAAAAAATAAAAAATATTGATAGGACATCACAAAATTATTGAACATGCATAAAATGGAAACTTCAATATCAATAATTAGCTAAAATTCCATTTATGTAAATAGGAGAAAAGAGTACACTACTGCATCTTCATCTAAGAAAAGCAGCAAATATGCACACATATAAGTGTCGGCATTTAACTTATAGCACACATACATAAGACATTCACAAGGGATATCATATTCATCTCTAGAGAAAACTGATAATTGAGAAGCATCCAATCCAAATATAGTATTAATTGGAAGTATTTTTGGAAGATTGAAGCCAGTGGGCAAAGTTTCGTAGTGTAGAGGCATCAGCCCTATAATACTTTTGTGTGAATTCCAACAACTCTGACCATTTGAAATCTGGGTACTTCCTAGCCTCCTCATTTTCCAATAGCTCTTGAGGTGGCCTCAAAATTTTGTCCTCCTTTGGGCTCACAAAATACACCAATGATTTTCTCACCTTTTCCTTGTTCACCACCGCCCTGTGCAGGCAACTCTTGTATCTTCCGTTACAAAGCGCCTACATGTTCGCTTATGAAAATTATACAAGTGTCGCAAATAAAATAAAAATATTAGTTGATAGTACAGCAGAAGAAGATGACATGTAAGTACCATGAATGTATCGCTAATGTTAACAGCAAAGGCATCGGGGCAAGGTCGAATTACTTGCCACTTGTTATTTGCAAAGATTTCAAGTCCTTCAACTTGATCTTGATGAAGTATTGTTAAGGAATTCGGATCACAATGGGGACCAGTTCCAAGGGTGAGCCCAGCTTCTTTGCAGGGTGGGTAGCTATTGAACCTCATTATTGAGTTACCATCTTCAAACAATTTCCTATAGTGTGACCTATCAACTCCCAAGCTAATTGCCAATAGTTCCATTATTACCAGAGATAAATCTCTCATTGCTTCACAATATTTCTGATAAACCAACCTGAAAATAAGAATAAAAAATTCAAGTTAAGTAATTTTCTTTAATTGTTCAAATTTATGCAATATATAAGGCTTATGAAGGAAAGAGATATGCATGGTTGAATGCAATATGAGTAAAGTAAGTACTTGGCAGGTTAAGAAAAATGAACTAAAATTTTGTTCATCGTACTGTACGCGAACTAACCCGGCATCTTCAAAATCATTCCCCAGAACGGACTTGAAATAGTTCATCACATCAGGTTCCAGGGAATTATCATGGCTGTATCCAAATGAAAATGTCTCCTTCCACGGCAGTTTTGAAGAATATCTATGAGCATGGGCACTGGAATAACCAAATACACTACCTGGATTCCTTTTTATTGCAAATTTTCTGCTCATCGGAAGATCAAAAAAGGCATTCATATGCTTATGCGCAGCACGAATTAGAGTTGAATCTACGCCATGGTTGATGACCTGGAAGAAACCATGGTTCGAACAGGCGGCCTGAATCTGCAAAGCTGCAAAAGAAATGGCTTCTTCATCGCCATTAAAGAAGCCCTTTAAATCTACTGGAGGATCTGTGAGTTCATCTTGGGTGATACAAGTTAAATCTTCATGAGGCCATAGGAATTGTGTGGGCAAATTTTCTTGTTTTTGAAGTACGGATGTGTCGAAAACAAATGCCGGCGGACCCTTCTCGATATCCTCTTTTTTGATGCTTGATTGAGGATGAAAAACTAGAGTTGAGGCATTTGAATCCATTGAATTGGCTAAAGACTGGAATTATTAGAAAACAATGAGAGCTACATATATATAGCTAAAGACATTTTTAATGGATTTCAATAAAATTCTTTAAAAATTTTAGGTATTCACAATAACTTGTGTGGATTTATAAGGATTTCAAAAGATTTGTATTAATTTCAAGCATAAATGGAAGGTAGAATTAAGTGATTTACGTGACGTCCTCATCTGAACTTTTGATAAATTTTAATAGAATTATAATTTTATGAGGGTGTCTTCAAATGAGATATTGATGGATTTTAAAAGATTATAAAATACTAAAGAATTTCATGTACTTGAATATATTTTCAAAAAATTCTATGAATCTCATTAAAAATGGTGAAATTTGAAAATAATTTGTTATATGTATTTTTAAACTTGAAATCCATTTAAATCTTTTAAAATCCTTCTATTAATGAACTTCGTATAAATCTATAAGTTATTGAGAATATCTAAATTTTAGTGGATTTTATTAGAATTCATTAAAATTTTAGCTGGAGACGCCTAAATTTTAATCGGTTTCATTGAAAATGATAAGATCCATTAAAAAAACAATTAATGACATCTGAATTTAGAAGGATTTTTGAAATCCATCAAAATCTCACACACATGAATTCCGTGATTTTGACTAGATTTTCACAAATTTCAATAACAATCTCATTAAAATGGTGAAATTTCAAAAGATTTTATTATATGTATTTTTAAACTTAAAATCTATCCAAATATTTAAAAATCCCTTTATTTAAAGAAATTCTTATAAATTCATTAATTATTGAGGATGCCTAAATTTTAAATGATTTTATCGAAATTCATCAAATCTCAAGTTGAGAAGTCTAAGTTTTAAAGAACTTCATGAAAATCCTTTAAAATATCAATTGGGAGAGCTTAATTTGGAAGAATTTTTAGAATTCATCAAAATCTCAATTGAGCATACTTATTTAATTGTATATCTTATTTAAGTCACACTAAAGCCACATAGACAAGTGTTTTAATATCGGGGGTACTAAATAGTATTACTCTAAAAATAAACTCGACAAACTCTTTTAAAATTTAACAATTTTTAATGAGATTCTTATGGATTTTATGAAAGTCCATTCAAATTCATGAAATTCATTAGTATTTATAATCTTTTAAAATTGATTAAAATTTTAATTAATGACACCCTACAACATTAACCCGTCTATTGGTGAGATCTTCTTAACTGTTATCGCTAATATTTAAAGTTTTTAGATGAAATAATTTAATATATTTTTGTGTCTTTTGAATACTAAAAATTCATAGAGTTGAAAGTTAAGTAGTAGGAATTCTAAAAATTTTCTCGAGGAAAATAGAGAGGTCTATCACATTATTCATAATATGTGAAAGTATCGACATAATTTCATACCTATAAATCTAATTTAGCCCCTGTTTGGTACTCATTTTTGGAGCCAAAAATGCATTTTTTCCGTCACATCAGCATACAATTTTTGACTTCTACACTCTAATGGGGGACCCGCGATATGATATTTAAAATGCATTTTCATCTAAAAAATGTGCACCAAACGGACTCTTAATTAGGGTAGGTCAGTCTAATTAATCTCTATTCTCCAGTCTGCCCATTTTCAACTTGTAATTTGATTTAAAATCCCATCATTTGGCTGTTTCTCTTATTTTCTAATTACACTAACACTCTTCAAATCTCTGTCTTTTTCCCAATAATTTGTTCTCTCTTTATACAAATTTTATTATTTATGATCACCGTTCAATAGTCTGTAATAATCCATGTTTGCAAGTTCCCAGGTCGGCAAAACAACAAATATTGTTCACAATCAATTTCCAGTTTCCAATATAATTTTGTCTCTAACATATCATGAGCTCAATTGGCATTAATTTTTTTAAAAATTAAAAACTGCTTTTTAAATTAAAATGTTGCTTTTAAACATGTTTAAAATTCATTTGACAGAATTTTTATTTTTATTTCTACTTTTTGTAGAAGATTTTCTTGAGAAGTTACGCTAAGCCAATTTCTTCCGAAAAAATTTTATTTTCAAACAAAATACTTCTGAAAAATCATTTAAATATGTTCAAACGCAAATTTATATTTCTTAGTCTCAAAATTAGCTTTTGTCTTTTCAAAACCCTATCAAACTGGTTGTTGGCATTAACTCATTTTATTAAGAGCCGGGGAAGTATATTTTTTATTCTTAACTTTTGAACTTTGTCGTTTTCTCAGAAAAATAATATAAAAATTAAATTTCAATGCATGTTCTTTATTTCGATCGTACACACAAAAGACATATATTTATGTTTTGACTAAAATGAACAAACATAAGCAAGCAACCTTGGGCCATTCGGACGAGAAAATTCGACATTACATGTACACCTTATCCTTCAAGTTAATGCACATGGGCAGATTTTATTTGATGTTTCAATTTAAAATTGATAGGAAATCAAGTGCAGAGAACTAGAATTCTTGTCAGCTTAAAGATAGGCTTTATTTTAAACATTGATTCGAAGGATAATAAAAGGTAGAGAAAGGATTTCAAAGTCAACCTTCCATATAAAAATCAAGATTCATAGTATATGCATAAACAATAGACCAAAATCATATACATGTCATTTTCGCAAGGGGATTTGATCTTCAATCATGTTGCATATCCTCAGGTTGCTCAGGCAGGTTTTTCGAGTTTTCCTCTTCCACATGAGTATGTAGTGATTCTGATGCCGGTGCTTCTGCTTCTGTAGGTAAAGTAGGATTCTGATAGAGAAATACAAGAACTTTAAAACTGTTTGAGATAAGAAACATTTAGTTCACAAATGTGTGGACATTATACGAGACATACCATCAAGCACTCAATATCATTCAATGACTCGTCCGTCTCCCTCACACCCTTGTCTAATTCCATTTCAATCTGTGATAGACAGTATACCAACCTTATTTCAACTTTTAATGATAAGCATGTGTTGAAATTTTGAGGTAACACATATAGTACTTTATACATTTTATGGATTTCACAGAAATGAAGTCATCTCACATAGTAAACAAAGTTAAGAAGCTTATAATGCTCGTTGAAACCACTCGTATGGCCTCAATTTTGGATGTAACCATCCTATATTGAGATTAAATAAATTTAATGAGAACAAAGGTTTCTAGATAATTGAAATGTTAACTGGCAATCGTGCAAGGTTCGAGTCGAAGAAAGGCTGCCTCATCTGCGGTTCGCTAATTAATACACTAATCTCTCCTTCGACCTTCAAACAAAAACTTCGTAATTGCACTCCGACACTTATTTGATAAAATTTTCTACGACAGGCATTTGATAAGGCAATAAAGATGATCTTCTATCAAAAGACAACGAAATGGGAGATACCTCATCTTTAGCGTCAGGTTCAATAATTTCCATCTTCACCCTGCTAGGTGTAGTTTCTCTGTAAGGACACAATAGGGAATGATCTATCCTTAAGGACACCCATTTTTTTCTTCAGAATTTTCCATATATTCAGAAATAGAAAAGCCTACGTGTGAATCTTGGATAGGGAAGTATACCTCAAGTAATCAACATTAACATCATCATCAGGATCTTTTCTTTCATCTTTATTATCATCTTCATCTTCGTCTGCCTGAAATTGAAGCATCATACATGAGAAGTCACATAATGCAAATTTTCTTTTCCAATATACAAATAACTTGTTCGGGTTTCTTTCAACAAAGTCATTCTCCAGTTATGAAGATGTAACAAAAAGGGAATTGGTCCGCATTTATCTCTAGACACCCTCCATCTGATATCTGATTAAGTTGTTTCCTGGTACTTCAAATCTACAACGTTCTATTGTGGTAAAGATGGGTGGAATAGAGCTATAAAATGAACAAAAAGCATTAGTATCTTGGTTGAGTACAAAGTGTTCAAATTTGTGGCTAGTGCACTGACATTTTCAGGAATTAATAAGAATACATGAAAGATACATAATGGATAGTACTTGGCATCTTTTGTTAACTGAAACAAGTCACGGTTGTAAAAGCAAACCTCTGGGATTTCAGTATCAGGCGGTCGCTCTTGGAACTGTACACTTGGCGCATGCTGAAGTCTTGAGAGATTATCAAGAAGCTTTGCTCTCATATTATCCAACATTTCCCGAGAGTTCTTGTTTTCCATGTTACTTGGAGCAACATGAAGAGTGTAGTCAGGACCAAAATACTCAATATATTCGTGCTCTGGCACCTTATCATCAACCTCAATTCCAAGTGCTACTCCTGTCTGCACAAAAATCAAAAGGACAATATTCAATCAAAGATGACGGTAATGAAAATTCAAGAAAAGAAAAAGTTTCCACTCAAAGGGGTTTGTGGAGGACATATTTGCACAACGATCATTTGACTTTTTACGTTTTTGAAATGATCGAAAGTTCATCATTGAACCTAGTTCAAAGTTAACTAATATACATACAACATACCTCATAGCACCAGCAACGAGCAACATTGCGTATTGTGTAGCCACCTCCACCCAACAAAAGAAGTGGCACGTTAAAAGATCTCATGAATCTGACACACTCTGCATGACCTTTAACGGATATATTGAAGCAGCCTAACCTATCCCCAGATAAGGAGTCAGCTCCACATTGTAAGACCACAGCTCCAGGCCTAAAAACATCCATCACCTTTCTCATTATTGGCTTAAACAATGACTGATAGCTTTCATCATCAATTCCATCATCCAATGGAATGTTAAGAGCATAATATTTCCCCTTCCCAAATCCAATATCTTTTATGTCCCCTGTACCAGGGAAATAATCTCCAAATTTGTGAAATGAAACGGTCATGACCCTGTCTGTAATATAAAAAGCCTCCTCAACGCCGTCGCCGTGATGAATATCGATGTCCACATATAGAACGCGCTAAACGAATTGGAAAAAAGAGAAATCAAATTCAGGAATGTGAAACTAAGCAAGTCCTTAACTGTCACTAAGTTATAGTGCCAACAGACTCACAAAATCTGATCTAGAGAGTGTTCTTTATATTAAGCAGCCAATAACTATTAAAACTGTGTGTAAATTTAAAAATGTAAATGTAAAGTAAACAAGATATGCTAGTCAAGAAGTCACCGTTATCATGTATGGTGTTAGAGAAAGAGACCAACCTCGTGAAACTTGAGGAGCTCCAAAATAGCCAGAACTATGTCATTCACATAGCAGAAACCAGAAGCCTCACATTTCTTTGCATGGTGCAGTCCACCAGCCCAATTTACCGCAATGTCACAATGTTGATGGTTTAATTTAACTGCTCCCCCAATAGAACCTCCAGCATAAGTTTGACAGAAGGAGTAAAGACCGTCAAAAACAGGGCAATCTTCGCCAACATTAAATCTCTTCAGCTGTCTCGAATATTCCTGCACTGTATCTGGCGTGATTCTTCTCAAGAATGAGACATAATCATCTGCATGAAACCTGCATAGATCCTTCTCTCGAGCAGGATTAGGCTTCAATACATGCATATGTTGTAGTAAGCCATAGTGAGCAAGGAGAGCATGAGTCATTCGCATCCTGTGTGGCTTCATTGGGTGACCTTGCCCATAATAGTAATTTCCAACCTCTGGATCATAGAAGTAGCATACTTTTCTCTTAACCGTAACAGATCCTGATGCTAATGAATTTCCGCCAATATCCATTTTCCTATCCTACAAATCATGACAAAGATAACCCAGATTGGATTTACTCAATAGTTTGCAAAGACAGCTTAATTAAAATTTGGTAATCAGAATTGCTTTTTATAAGAATGATAGAAAAATCTAATCCCATTCGCTCCCCTAACTTCCGTCTCTTAGTGTCAGAATCGGCCCAGCAGAGTGCTTTCACCGTTGGTGTTCAGGCATGAGGAGACTAAAAGTAAAATGAGAAACGACAGGAAGTTCACCACGAAAACTATCACACAAAGAAAAAGACCTTGGCTAAAACTCTAGGCAGGAAAACCAATTGAGAGGCAGTAAGATTGACAGGAAAATGTAAGTATTTTTTTTACTCCTCTGCAACAAATCAAACAGTCAATACTAGAAGCAACAATAACTAAACTCACAGATATATATGCACGTTGAGAAAGAAATTTTTATCATAACAGTCATTATATCCACTGGCCATAATAAAATTAAAATGCCTTCTCCTACTTGTTATTCCATTCCTTTAGCATAGTATCCTCAGAATATCAACCAACCTATCTCAACCTTAGACATGGAGATAGCATCTCATAAAGGCCATTTCTACATACTGCTTCAAAAGAACCTTAGGCAACACCTTGAAGAGCTTCTCGTGCAATGCATTTATTAGGAGCCTGAAAATTTAGATTTCGAGTGCCCTTTCAGAAGGCTTATGCTTTGACTTAATGAGGCGAGCTTCAGAGGACATAAGCCTCATGATGGCCAAGGCTTACATATTGAACAAACTTATCTAAAATTTCTGTTGGTGAGGAGACACATTTATTTCCTTAGATTTGGATTCATCTTCCACATCCACCTACCCGCCACCGCCACCGCCACCCAAATGCAAGCCAGTCACCAGATTCATTCTTTGTAAAATGCCTAGCACATTCGCAATTTTCATAGATGGATGACAATGGAACTTAGGAGCTTTGTCCGGTCTAATACTATGTTGATTCATGCCATCTAAAATTTAACTTGTTTGAGATGGAACACATTTATTGAAATTTAGTCTTCTATGGTGTGCCTTTTGTTAGCTTCAACTTTAATTAACACGCATGTAAAACTGAAGGAAAGAAAAAACACTTAAAGAATAACAAGCTATATCTAAAAGAAACGAACAATAACAAAAAATGAATAAAAGAAGCAACAAGGGCGTGCAGTCTCCAAATCAATTTTGTGATTTCGAACAAACAGGCACACAAGTCAAATGAAAGCACAGTTATTTTTCCCTTTACGAAAAGGGTTTTCAAGAAAACAAAAATACTTGCAGAAGCTTTCTTGCAAAATAATAAAAATAATTAATAAATATAGCACAAAAACTAAATGATACCATGTTCAGTTCAGTAAATAACAGAACCACAAAGCAAAATAAAAACAATATTTCCTTATTCTTTGCTATCAAGAATTAACTAAAGGAGTAGCAAAGTATTTTTCAGATTTTTATCCTTCACAGGTCAATTTCGCACGTACACTTGAAGCATTCCCAAAATCAAGAAAGTTATTATCTTAGAGAATTTTTTCAAGAAATGCTCCAATTCAGCACCTTGTGTTCATAAACTAAAAAAAAAAATAATAATAATAATAATTAAACAATTGTGATATTTAAAGAACTTCAATTTCCCCAATCAATCACAGTTGAAAACCCTAATCAAACACGAGAAAAAAAAAAAAAAAAAAAAAAAAAAAAAAAAACCTCGGCAATTTATTAGATTCAATTTTTAACATGAATCATACCAAATCACCAAAAAGAAAAGAGCCGAAAAAACCAGTCGACAGTTTCTTGGGGAAAATAAGTAGAAAAAACGAGTTTCCATTAGAAACTGATACAATGTAAGTACAGTCCATGGATA